GGCCCGGGGATCGATTTCAAAGGGGCGGTCCTCGTGGAGGTTGACGTCGATCCCCAGCTCTCTCGCCGCGTGAGCTGCCTGTCGGCATGCATCCCTCTGGCAAGTATCTCATATTGCCCTGACTGGCTCAACCCCCTGGGACCCTAGCGATCTAAACCAAATCTCTAGACTGATGCAGGTGTCATCGCGATGCCATCGCCGGCGATGACATCGCGATGACATCGCGATGACATCGCAAAAACATTTCTACAATCGCATCAGTTCAGCGTTCCAGCGTTGGGTGGAGGTGCGGTTGGGCCCACAGATGCCTTGCTCACGCACGCCCCCCTGGAAACCGGATCCTGGGCCCACTCGAGATGTTCCGACCATTCCTCCGAGAACGTGTCTTTGAAGCCTTTTGTGATGTAGAGCGCTCTTAGGGCCTCCTGGGGGGCAAAGCGGTCTAGGAGAACGCCGAAGGACAAGGTCGAGGAGAGGGGCGAGTGAGAAAGGAAGACGGTCGAAGAGGAGGAGGTCGAAGAGGGGGAGAAGGGGTCGAGGAGGTGGGTGGGGAGGTCGAGAAGGTGAGTGAGGAGTGCGAGTGAGGAAGGGGGTAAACGAGGGCGCTGTAAGCAAGAACTCGCGTGGCAACGATGCAGGCTGCGTCCGCCATGTCGTCGTCTGCCACGCATGGTGGCCCAAGCTGGATCGCCTTGATCATGCATTTTGCTGCCTCGTTACAGCGGGGGGGGGGCGGAGAAGGACAAGAAGGAGAACGACCGATTAGCAGGAAGACAAGAGGGGGGGGGGGGGGGGGGCGAAGAAGGAGGAGGAACGAAGTTGGAGGACGACAAGGAATGAGTTGGAGCAGGGCGACAACGACGACAAGGAAGGAGGTGGAGTGGGAGGACGCGCGGGGAGGAGGAGGAGGCACGACTATGTTTCAGCACGCATGCGCAGGCCTGAAGCCAGCCTGCTTCGCCGCCGCCCTCCTTGTGGGCAATCCTCCCGATTGGGGCGTACACCTCATGAGTGCACCTGGTCTTGGTCAGGCACTTGCGGTAGCATTTGGTTCTCTGGAATTTGCCCGCCTCCTCTTTGGCCCACTGCTGGCGGTCATTAGCAGCGCCCAAGTCATCTCCCTTGAATGCTTGGTACTCGGTGCACGTCTTACCCTTCTTGTTCAGTTATCTCTGGAAGCGGCTCGCGATGGCGTTCCCCCCCCCCCCCTGGCGCTTGCAGGGAATTTGTAATCCTGCTCCGCCATCCTCTTCCAGAACTCCTGTTCCAGCTGGTCCTTCTTGGACAGTTGCTCAAACGGAATTTGGCTTTAAATTACCCTCGCCGCCCGCATCTGCAGGCGCCTCGTCGCTCTGGAATGCCTCCTCGTTGTTCAGGCTGGAACGGCCGAAACCCTTCATGGTCAAGAGCTGCGCCACTGTCTCAGATTTGGAGAAGTCACCGATCGCGTCGATCACATTCAGCTCGTTGAAGTCGGTGCCCTTTAGGCGCAACGTATCCTGCATATGAGGCGAATGCAGCGGGTGATGCTAAGGAAGGATGGCACAGGTTAGATTAAGCAAATTCAGATCGAGCCCTTTCATCCAAGCAGGTTGCGCACGATGCAACGCGACCCCCCTACATCCAACATGTTCTGATCGCCATAGTGGGGAACCCGATTCAAACGCACAGTTCAAGTATATATATATATATATATATATATATATATATACCCTCGGCTTGAACCATCTACCCTTCACGCTCACAATCTCACGCAATGAAGCAGAGAGATCAACGGTCCTCAACCAACGTAGCGCACTTCTCTGACTCTTTGCAGATCGGCTTCACGACGTCAGTCTTCTCGGGGGTCGAGGAGCTCTCCGAGCCAGCCCGTTGGATTTTTGCATTGCTATGCGCTCTCCCGAACTGGAGGTGGCATGGGAGATGGGATGTATGAGAGGTCAGATGGGCCTGACGCCACGCATCCTCCCACTGGCGCGTCTTTTCCTGGCAGACGCCGCCCTTCTTGTCAAGCGAACTCGACGAGGGCGACCGCCGCCTGCGCCGACGGCCCCTGCCCCTCGACCTCTCAGCCTCGTCGGGGTTGGCCTCCTCGGCCCGCTGCCTCCTCCCCCTCGCTCTGTCCTCATCGTTCTGCCTCGCCCTCCTCCTGCTTCTATCCTGGCTGCACGCTCGCTTCTTGGGGGGGGGGGGGGGGGGGGGGGGGGGGGGGGGGGGGGGGGGGGGGGGGGGGGGGGGCGACGAGGTCCTCGGAGCGGCCCCTGCGGCCCTTGCGGCTCGATCCCCCCTGCATCTCTTTCGCCGCCTTGCTACCCGAAGGATCGGTGGATGCAGCAGCCTCGGGGCGTCCAGGGCTGTCAGGCCTGCCCTTCGTTTGACGCTTCGAATTTTCGATAGCCTTGCGAGCGTCCTCTTCCTCCTTCCGCTGGCTCTCCTCTCTGCGTGCTTTCTGCTCCTCTGCCTCGCGCCTCGACTGCTCAACGACTGTCATCAGCTTCTCATCATCAGAGCGAAAACCTTCATCTTCATCAGATTCGACGACCGCTGCTGGACTCGGCTGCTCCATAGGCACGTCTGAAAGCTCAGCCTCAACCGATGCCGCGTCGAGGCGATGCTCGAAGCCGCTGTCGGGCGCATCCTGGGAATGTGGCTAGATTGCGTCGTCATTTTGTTGGCTTGACTTTTGAGGAACAAAAGGGCACCGTTGCAAGCGCCATCGATGACGTTTGGAATGAGGACCCCATAGGGCCCAGAACAAATACAACATCGACGACATCTCCCTCCACATTCTCCCCGCCCCCTGCCAGGCCTCTTCCTTCAGGCACTTCTCGCGGCACTCCGGCGATTCCGACTCTTCCTGCTCGAGCCGCAGCAGTGTCTCCTCAAGCTCTTTCTTGCGCTCAGCGCGGCTCTTGCGCGGGCGCCCATCCTGCGGGGGTCAGGGCGCCCTTCCCCCCTCCTCCTCCTCATCCTCCTCTCCCGTTCATATCCTCTTCCCCCTGTTCCTCCTCCTCCTCCTCCTCCTCCTCCTCGCTCCTCCTCCTCCTCTCCGCCTCCTCCTCCTCCTACCTCCTCCTCCTCCCCCCCATCCCCCCACCCGACTCCCTCCTCCTACTCCCCCTCCTTCACCCCCCTCCCCCTCCTCCTCCTCCCTCCTCCTCCTCCTCCTCCTCTCCCCCTCCTCCTCCTCCTCCTCCTCCTCCTCCTCCTCCTCTCGTGTTTCCCATCTCTCCTCCCGCACACCCCATCTCCCCCAGTAGCCATGCGGGTCCTGACTGTGTGGAAGCGTCTGCGAGCCCTGCAGTTCCCGCTCGCCCCATCTCCCCCAGTAGCCATGCGGGTCCTGACTGTGTGGAAGCGTCTGCGAGCCCTGCAGTTCGACCTTCGCGGCGCGGCGGGCATCCTCGTTCTTTGGCGCAGCGCCCTCCTGCTGGGCGCCCTCTGCTGGCTTCTCCATCTCTGCTGGCTCCCCCTCCTCCCCCTCCTCCTTCTCATTCTCCTCCTCCTCCTCACCTCGACAATCCTCTGTTGGAGCGTGCACCTCCTCAGCGCCTGCTGGCGGGGCCCCCCCCCCGCCCTCTGCTGGCGGCCCCTCTGCAGGTGCCTCCTCCTGGCGGGCTGGCTGCTGGCGTCCTGGCTGCGCGCTGCTGCCGTCGCTGCTCTGGTTCTCGTCCGCCATGGTTCCGCCAGCTCCTGCCTGGTACATGTCTTCGATCTGGGCCCCGCTCGGCCCGCTCGGCTGCTGCGTTCCCTCTGCGCTCGCCATGGGCCCGGCCCTCTGGCCGGCGCGCCCCGCGCCCCCGCGTGGCGCCCCCGACCGCCCGGGGAATTCTTGATCCTAAATTTCAGCGGCGAAGATTTGATTCAATATGATTCCGTGAGTCCAGGCTTTCGGGGGACCTGATTTAACAGTTCGACGATTCCAGGAGTGATTCTAAAATTTCGCTCTCCAAGTCATTGCATTTTTCCCCCACTGAAAGACCTCGCTACGCGGGTCACCCCCCTTCAACAAGTCACCCCCCCCCCCCTATTTTTTGACATGGGCGCGAGCGATGCCACGCGCTTCCGCTACCACTGCTCTGGCGCCCTAGTCCCGCGGGTCCACGCGAATCGGCGGCATCCTCATCTCCTCCTCTGCTGGCGCCTCCTCCTCCTCCTCTGCTGGCGCCTCCTCCTCTGATGGCGCCTTGGGAGCTGCTGGCGCCTTGGGAGCTGCCGGCGCTTTGGGAGCTGGCGGCGCCTTGGCAGCTGGCGGCGCCGACAACTTGGCCGCCTTTGCACCTGCAGGCGCCGCGTGAGCTGCTGGGCGCTTCATGCCTGAGCGCCTGGCCTCCTGTGCCGTGGCCTTTCCCAGCTCTGCTGCGCCTTCGGCCTCCTCGTCCTCCTACTCCTCCTCCTCATCCTCCTCCTTCTTTACCTTTTGCTTCTCCTCATCCTGCTCCGCATCCTTCTCCTCATTCTTTGCTGCGCCTGCTGCCTCTGCCTCCTTCTTTGCTGCGCCTGTGGCCTCTGCCTTCCTCTTTGCAGCACCTGCGGCCTCCTGTGCGTCCTCTGCGCCCTCTCCTCCTGAATCCTCTGGCTCATCCTCCTCTGCCTGCTCTTCCTCTGCGTCCTCCTCTTCGCCATCGTTCTCCTCTTCCTTCTCCTCCTCTTCCTCCTCGCCCTCCTCGTCCTCCTCCTGCGCCGCCTTTGCCTTCTCGGCCTGTTTCTCCTTTTTGACGTTGCCTTTGCCGCACCTGTCGTGCTCGGTGCTCTGTATGGCAGCTGGGCGCTTCTGTGCAGCCGATGGGCGCTTCTGAACCGCCGTGCGTTTCCCGTTTTGTTTTAGCCGCGCATGTTTCTCTGCTTCCAACATGGGCTTGTCTGCAGTGCCTGCGACGCACCGATCAAGCGCGGCGATGAGCCAATTCTTACCCGCCTCTTCCTTGTCCTCAGTCCAGCCCCCCATTTGCATGAATTGGCCTTCGTGGAGAGCCTGTAATATTCTCGGTTTTCCTTGCCTGTTGACCCACTTGAGAAGCGCTTTCGATTTGCCATCTTTGCAATCCCATTCCTTAATGACGAGGCTTTTTGCATTGCCACTTTTCTCCTGGAAGCTGGCTGCTTCAGCGCACGGCACCTCTCAGCGGCGCGCGCACAAAGATGGCAAAGAGCAGGGGGAGGAGGAGGAGGAGGAGGAGGAGGAGGAGGAGGAGGGGGGGGAGGAGGAGGAAGGGAGTCAGGGGAGATGGAGAGGACGCGAGGGGGGAGGGCAACGATGTGAGGGATGAAGGGGAGGAGGAGGAGGAGGAGGAGGAGGAGGGAGGAGGCGGAGGAGGAGGAGAACGGAGGTAGAGGGGGGGGGGGGGGGGGGGGGGGCGGGAAGGGGGAGGGGGAGTAGTAGTAGGGAGGAGGAGGAGGAGACGGAGGAGGTGGTGGAGACGGAGAGCTGCAGGAGAACCATAACGAGGAGGAGGAGGAGGAGGAGGAGGAGGAGGAGGAGGGGGAGTGCGACGCCGACGACGAGCAAGGTGGCGGGAGTGCTGGGCGAGTGAAAGTGATGCCTCGACCCCTCCCTGGAGCGGCTTCTGATTTGAATTCCGATTCGGATCCAGCCTCTGGCGAGGCACCGCCCCAGGAGTCCGACAAAAGGAACGCAAGGCTAAACTCGCCTGACGCTCGACGACGACGACGACGATGGCACCTCCCATCTGAAGCCGTCGCCCCACGTTGCGACGGGAAGCTCGCGCCCGTCCTCTACCCTAGCGACCGTGTACTCTGGGTTGTTCCGCTTCTTGTCGCCAGACTCTGGGATGCGCCACGCTGACTGGGGGAGGGCGAAAGGATGACCAAGGGGGATGGGAGTGAGGCGGATGTCTGAGGATCGGCAGGAGGACGATCGACCTGGAGGAGAAGTGAGGACGATGGATGAGCATGAGAAAGAGGAGGACGACGAAAAGACGAGAATGGCGGCAGCTACAACATGGCAAGGAGAAAGGAGGAGGAGGAGGAGGAGGATGAGGAGGAGGACGGAGAATAAGGAGGACGAGGAAGGGGACGAGTAGGAGGGAGGAGGAGGAGCAGCAGAAGCAGGCGGAGGAGGAGGAGAAGGCAGAGGAAGAGGGGGAGGAGAAGAAGCAGGATGCGGCGCCTGCACGTCGGCCTGCCAGCCGAGCGACCAGCCTCCCAGCGAAGCGAATGGGCCGAAGCGAGGCGCCTATCTTGCCCTTCGTCCTCTGCGGCCTGGATGCGCCAGAAAATTGGGGGACAGATGGGGAGAGGGAAGGGGGGCGGGGGGGGGGGGGGGGGGGGGAGGGCGCCGAGCCCCTGCTGGCTGCGCCGCCTCTGCGCCGCGCTGGGCTGCCCCAGCCCCTCCTGCTTCCTCGGCCTCCTCTGCCTCCTCCTCTGCCTCCTCTGCCTGCTCTCCTGCCTCTCCTGACTCTGCGGCGGCGCATATCTTCGCGAAGGGCTTCGCGAAATCTGGGATCGTCGTCCTGACTCGAGCTGGGCGCAAAAGATTGCAGACGTGTTCTAAGACTTCATTTCAGGTGTCGTCGCAGACGTCATCTGAGATGACGCCCGCGATGACATCTGAGATGACGTCTCGACATGCGCCTTTGGCAATGGAGGAGAAGGAGAAGGAGGGGGATGAGGAAGAGGAGGAGGGGGGGGCAAAGGAAGAGGAGGAGGGAGAGGAGGAGGGGGAGGAGGAGGAGGAGGAGGAGGAGGAGGACAAGGAGGAAGAGGGAGAGGCGGAGGAGGAACGTGGCTCAAGGGAGGAGGAGGAGAGAGGGGGGATGGTGGGTTGGAATTTCGCGACTGCCCCTCCCCCGAACAAAAACAATGAAGTCCTGGAAACGCACCTGGAGACACCGCGCAGCATGCTCCTCAGGCTCTTCGAAATATGTGCTGCCCAATTCTCGCGCTCCGACGCGAGCTTCCACGCGCTCTCGCGGTCGACAGCTATCTGGGGGAATGCAGCCTCCAGCTAACGAAAACGTTCGGAAACGAGAAGGAAGTCTAGCAGAAGGAGGTCAGGGAGAGGAGGAAGATCACGCAGAGGAGACCAGGGAGAAGAGTGAAGATGGTGATGGCGAAATGCGGAAAGTTAGATTAGATTAGAATTCGAATCCCAAGACTAGCCGAGTGAAAAGGTCGACGGGTAGGACGACGACGGCAAGAACGAGGTCTCGAGACGAGAGCGAGGACGAGGTAAGGTATTCAGACGACGGCGAGGAACGGCGGGAAGAGAAAGGTGGCTGGCGGGAAGAGAGGATGTCCCCTTATTTGTCGGAGGAGGCGGGAAAAGGATGCAGGTGGGAGAAGGGTGGGGACGGCAGGATGGAGAGCAGGGGGCGCGAGCCTTCGCGACCTTCTGCGGGGCCCCCCCTCGAGGCTGTAGGCGCAGCAGCTGGCTGATGAGCTCTCTATGTTTAATGGTCTGATCGTCGTCCACAGCGGAATCCATGTGTTCGTCGTATTCGATCCACCTGGGCGCCGCCCTCTGCCCTCCACCGTCTGATCCCCCTCATCCTCCATCCTATGCTTCCTCTGACACATTGCCTCGTCAATCCTCAGCCCTCACCCTCTCCCGCGCGTGGCCCACCCGCCCGCGCCTCTCCTTTTGCTTGCCATCGCGGGCGTCCTATGGTTCTTCCTCGCCGCCCTGGCACCTACCCTCCTCCTCCTCCTCCTCCTCCTCCTCCTCCTCCCCCTCCTCCTCCTCCTCCTCCTCCTCCGCCTCCTCCTCCTCCTCTTCCTGTCCCTTCTGCTCCTCCTTCTCTCAGCTAGTTCCTCCTCCTGCTGCCCCCCCCCTGCCCCTCTCCCTGTTCCTCCTCCTCCATCTGCAGCCGAGCGCCCCGCTCGTTCGGATCTCGAACGTCCGCGGCGAAAGCGTTCAGCACATCTGCCAGCGAATCTACATCGTCGAGCCCTGGCGCGCGGACCCTCCCTTTTTTCCTCTTCTGCATCATTGAGCCGAAACGCTCGGGCGACGATTCCTCCACCTGCGCATCATGTGTTGCCTTCGTCGTGATCATCGCAGGAAGTGTTATAACACTTCCTGCGATGATCACGACGACAACAATAGTTTGCCTGGCGGCTTCGAATTGCGAGACGTCTCAGTTGAAACCTGCCTACATGATCGACTTTCTTCAATCAACCTGCGAACAAATGCGCTCACACACACACACACACACACACACACACACATACGCGCGCTCTCACACACTTTTTCTAATATCTATATATATACACATAAATGCCTATAAACTATTTATATGGTATTCATTGTTGTTTTTCATTATATGAGGCTATGTTCAGAGCACGGGACTATTTTTTAGTACGGGACTATTTTTTTTGTACGGGACTATTTTTTAGCTCTGTTGCGCAGAACTATAAAATAGTCCCTGTGGACCTCTGGGAAGGCAGCCGCGACGCCGGCCGCGGCCGCCGCCGCCCGCCGCCGCCGAGAGGGAAAACCGGCAGCGGCGGCAGCGGAGGCGGAGGCGGCGGCGGCGGGCAGCCGGGCGGCCGAGGCGCAGGCGGCAGGCGGCGCGGGGGCGGCCGAGGCGCCGCCGGCAGCGGCAACAGCAGCGGCCGCGGCGCCGCGAAGGCAGCCGCGCGCCGGGGGGAAAACCGGTGGCGGCGGCAGCGGAGGCGGCGGCGGCCGCGGCGGCGGCGGCGGTTGTGGTGCAGGCGGCCGAGCCGTCGCCGCGGCCGCCTCCAGCCGCCCGGGCGCCATCCCCCAGGGGAAGGCAGCGGCGGCGGCGGCGAGGCTCGCCGCCGGCCGCCGCCGCCGCCGCCGGCCGCCGCCGCCTCCCGCGCGCTCGCCGCCGGCCGCCGCCGCCGCCGCCGGCCGCCGCCGCCTCCCGCGCGCCAGCCTCCAGGGTGGAGGCGGCGGCGGCGGCAGAGGGAGCAGCCGCGGCCGCGGCAGGCGGCAGCCCGTCGCGCGCGGCGGTGGCTAGGCGCTGCCGCCGCCGCAGTGCGGCGCCAGAGGGGCGCGAGGCCATCGCGGGGCTAGCCCGGCGCGAACCTGTCCAGGGGCGGGTTCGAGCCGAGACGGCTTGAACCAAAGGGCTTGAGCCAGGGGGGGCTTGAGCCATCTGGTGGGGATACGCGAAGCGTCTAAGTCTTGAGCGAGAGCGCCACTTTTGAATTCGGGGGTCTCTCTGGCCAAGGCCTGTGGGAATACGCCTTGGCGAAGTATCGAACGAGAGCCCTTGTCGTCGTAGTTGGGCCTCCACCGATTTGACTGAATCACGAGAAAGTCTCGAGCGAGGGCGCCGATCCTGCATTTGGGCGCCTTCCTGGCCAGAGGTTCTAAGGATAAATCGCGAGGAAGTATCGAGCAGGAACCTTTGTCGTCGTGGCTGGGCCTCCGCCAACTTGGTTGAATTTTGCGAGGAAGTCTCGAGCGAAAGCGCCATTCATGAGTTCGGGGGCCTCTGTGGCCAGGGTGTCTCGGGGTAAATTGTGAGGACGTATCGAGCGGGAGGCGTTGTCGTTGCAGCTGGGCCTCCAAAGGAATTGTAGCTGGCGTCGAAGCGAGCGCGCGAAACCGTTTCCAGAGATCAGCAATACTTGTTCTCCAGAGGTGAATATTCAACACCAATAATTTTAAGCCTGTTCGCCTGTATCTGCTCGCGTGCCACTCAACACGTATATGCCAAGCCCTCGGTACCCGCTCTCTTCTTCTTCGATCGTAACTCCGTTGGGGGCATATTTCCCTTACCGGCCACGCGCATTAAATGCAGACCCTGAGTCTCGAACGATAGCGCGATTCCTAAAGAAGGGATCGTGAAAGCGTGGTTCTTGAGTGTCAAAATCGCGGCGTCTGAATCAATTGTGAAGAAGTCCCGCGCGAAAACGCGGTTCTTGCATACATTGTGAGAACATCCCGCGCGAGAGCACGAATTGGAAATACATTGCGAGGAAGCGTCAGGCGGAAACCGCTGTTGATGTAAACCAGGGACCAAAAACATAATTCTTAGACTCAAGACTTTCCTTTCTAAAAAACTAGGTGCGGGCCCCAGGAAGGGCACTACATGTGAAACAACACCATGATCCCCAGAGGGGGGTCAGCAATAATTATTCGCTAGAAAAGAATCCATAAACAACAACGACAACAATCAGTTCAAGACTGTTCGTTCGTGTCTGCTCGATTGTCATCCAACGCATATTTCCCAAACCCTCGATACCCGCCCTCTTCGTCTTCGATCGTACCCCTTTTGGGGGGTACATCTTTCTTCACTGCAAGGTGGGCCCCTGCAAGCGGCGCGGCGGCCGCGGACCGTCGGCCTTGCCAGCGGCAGCGCTGATCGGCGGCAGCCCGACCCCAAGAGAAACCGATAGGGGACCGACCACGACGACGACGACAACGAAGGCGGCGACGACGATGACGACGAGTGAAAGCGAGAGCGAAAACGAGAGCGACAGCTGGACCACGAAGGGCAGCGAGGGGGCCACGAAGGGCGACAGCGGGGCCACGAAGGGCATGCGTATGGGGCCACGATGGGCGCGAACGAGCGGGGGCCACGAAGGGCAGATAATGCGGGGCCAGAGATGGCAACGACGGGGCCACTGAGGGTAGCAACGGGGCCACGTAGGGCAGCGAGGGGGCCACGAAGGGCGACAGCGGGACCACGAAACGCATGCACATGGGGCCACGACGGGCGCGAACGAGCGGGGGCCACGAACGGCATACATATATGGGGCCACGAGGGGGCCACGAATGGCTGCAACGGGGCCCGGAAGGGCAGCGAGGGAGCGCAGCGAGGGGGCCACGAAGGGCTGCAACAGAACCACGAAGGGCAGCGAGGGGGCCAC